GATGCCCTTTCTATCCCCTCTGTAACCTGGTCGCGTGGTACTATAGATACAAATCAGTACAGTAGATCGAATCCTTGAGGGTAGATCTCGTGTCCAAATGATTGCATCATGTCGATCCACCCCGATGATTACGTAATATTCACATATGATGATGTAATCAATGACGCGCCGTCGTCGACCACGAGTCTCAGAACTGGATCGGGTCACATTCCATCAATCAGTCCCTTGTCCCCAGAAGCGAACTGTCAGTTCACCACATAATATTCCAGATTATGGATGTAGCATCGATATTAAAGGCATCAGTGAAGGCAAGGTGTCGACGACGCGACTAGCGCTCGTGAAGATCACACTCGGGTGGGAGATGGTCTACGATTTCGAGATGTGGGTAATGGCGCATAGCGTTGGCATTGATGTGGTGCTGGGAACGGACTTCATGATCCCGGCCGGACTACGGCTGGATCTGTTCCATGGTGCTGCACAACTTCCAACTGAAGTGCGCATCCCGCTGATCAAGACGAAGAACATGGTGATAGTATGGAGTACAGCACACACGTCAATGCTGGACCGACCGAAGCCTTAGCCATACCTGGCCACGAGTCTCTCGAGTATCAACTAGCGAAACGCGCGGCGAGACAGGAACAACATGTACTATGTGTTCGACGTACAGAGAAGGTCATCCCATCAGTGACGCAGTTTCACCATGGCCAGCGCGTATCGTATTGACGAACGTCTCAGAACGGACAGCGTACGTTTCAGTGTTCGATAAACTGGCCATGCTGGTTTCTATCGGAGATCTGTCGCGCGGCGAGGGCTACGTGCGTCTGGACTCCAAGAATTACAAGGACTGGCAAGTGCTTGCCTATGAGAACTGTTGCGACCGACAGTTGTTCAAAAGGGGAGTGCGAACTCTACGAACAATGGCTGGCGACCCAACCTCCATCGGTTGAGCGACGAGGATATCCGACACCCGTCGGAGTCATGAAGAGGTCGCCTGAAGACGCGTTGGGCGTATCGGCAGATCGTCTGACATGTGCCGAGCGTTGGGAGAAGATTTTGGAGCAACAAGAGCGAGACGAAGGTCGCCTAGACTCTGGGGTGACAGACGAGGACGCGTTCAAGATCCAATTCTCCGGAGACTCGTCAGACGGTGGCTCAGCAAGCGATGGTGACAACAGCGATGCCAACGAAGAGTCAGCTGGACGCCCACAGGAATTACAAGGTCTAACAAAGGTTATGAACACATTCTTTGGTTCTAGACGGTGCCTGGTGCCGAAGGTGCTGCATCAAGTACAGTGACTGGTGAGACCAAGACGGCCTCAGATGTCAGACAGTAACTCATCAGCCTCTTACATTGCGAGAGGGAAGGCACGACCACCAGTCCAGAGGAGATACACGCTTTGTTAAAGGTGCTGGACACGGTTGCGAGCGTTTGTTTGGGGCCTAGAGGCAAAGCCACGCCAGCGGAGGAGGCGGTACTCATGTTGGACGAAGGGTGCAATTGAGACTGCGTTAAACAAAATATATCGGATGAACCTAAGTACGAATCGCGATTTAAGACTTTTACTCGATAGGTGAACGTCTTAGCTCTCTATTGAGCGCATGTACGTCTAATTTGGTTGAGGTCGGCAAAAAAAAATTATCTTCATGTTGGACGGGAAAACGCGATTTTTTTTATTGTTGATCTAGACGTAAAATTGAGCAAGGAATCCATTGGCGGTATTCATTTGATCTATTGTTGAGTCTAACGTTGTGAAAAGAGCAATTAAATAGAGTGACTTCAAATCCTAAGGGATATATTTTGATTTTTTTTAAATCTGATCATAAGTAACATTTTGATTTCCTTTGGACATAAGAAACATTGACCAACCGTCTGCTCATACTGAAGCTACATCATCATCAATCTGCAGTCCTTTGCTTCTTTGCCTGCGGACGTGGTGTTTTGGCCGTCGGGGCCTTTTTTGACTTCACAGGCGCTGGTGCGTCATCATAGATTGGCTCGGAAGTGCCATCTGCGCCCACACTTCAGCGCTGATCTTGATTTCGTTTGGCTGCTACAGCCATTGCAGCACGTTGTGTACGCCTCGCTTTCTTCGCGACATTTGCTTTTTCTTCCTGTCGGGGACTCTGCTTCTCGTGCAGCGGGTCGTCGCGAGATTCATCAGGAAAGCAGGGCCGAATAGATTGGGCAATCTTTTCAGTGTTGGGGGGGGGGGCAACGTTTCAAGATGATCGGTCAGCATTCAAGTGACCTTATCCTGCAGTGTCAATACTCCGTCGAACTGACGACACAAATCCACCTCTACAACCTCCGAGTCAGGACGCTTGCGGCAGCACACCACACCGGGTTTGCTGGAGTCCATAGAAAATATTTGGTATTGCTGAATCCCGTCCAGCCTTTCTAGAGCTCTGTGAGTTCCTTCTTGAACCCTTTAAATAGGTCACCTCCATGTGGCACATACACAGTAGTTGCATTAGACGCAGCCGTCTTGACAGCCTCGACTAACTGATCCATCGTCCAAATGTCAAGCGCTCTGCTGTCGGAGCGATCATGAGAAGTGCGATCATGAGAAGTGCCAGTAGCGTGTGCAAACTTGTCATGCGCTCGCTTTTCGTCATTTAATTCAGCGATGTCAGCAAACGCTCGAGCTCTCGAGCTTTTCCCTGCACGCAGTGCTTTTCGCACGAGTCAGCGTTTATAATCTCAGTTATCCGAGCTCGTAGGACCCCCTCGAACAAAAAGTTGCTTTTGTCCTCTTCTTCTTGGTGACCGCTGGAGGAGCTGGCGGTTGAGAGGGATTCGACGTCGCTGTCAGCAACTTCTGAGTCCGGAGTGAAGCTCTCATCGCCACTATCATCGTACTCCTCACTCTCACTAGCGGAAGGAACAAGACGATCTCCTTCATTTGAGTCATCGCCTTCGTCCTCCCCTACGACTTTGCGTGTAATGGCATCTAGGGACTCCACATTAGGGCTGGCGGCATCCTGACAGGTTGTTGTGGTGGGCAGGGTGCTTGGCATTGCTTGCGGTGAGCCTGGTTCGAGAAGGCTGGGTTGATCGGGGTGGTGCTCGGGCATGGCTGGCTAATAATCTGGCGTGTTGAAGATTGAGATCTTGAACGCTGTCGGTACTCCCTGTTCAAATTTTTGAAAAGAGAAAAGGTCATTTTTCTCGCAAACTCACTTATGTACGAAATTGAAACAGCCAACTTTAAACGCGAAGATCTCGATAACTCTCAAAGCCGCATTAATCACATTTGTTTGACGCAGTCTCATATCAGTAGCCCACGTGTTGACAACCGAAGAAAACGAAATCTCGGATGACACCGGTAGGGACTATGCGAAGCTACCGCGCGACTACCGAGGATCCGTTATGTCTTTTGGCGGATCAACCAAGACCGATCAATAAGGTGGTCATAGTAGCTGTTCTTGGATATTATGGAGCCTCCCTGAATGGAAGATAGTGATCGCTGCAAACGCTTGTCTCCCGTCCACCACGGTGAACCTCGCTGCATACACTGGGATGAATAACGGTGTCAAGACAGCTTTAGCGCACGGTGCCGAGGATTTAGTCGTCGTGGGCGACTCAAGTCTTCCGACTCCACAGTCACTAGGGTCAGGTCAAAAGGGGTCTCTGATGATATTGCTGAACACTCACAAACAGCTTACGGCAAAGCTTCGGTCGGTCAAGAACCTTCACGTAGTAAAGGAATACAATGCTGCCGTGGATTCACTGGCCACCGAAGGTCTCGAGTCAAAAATTAGTAGGGTCGTGCTTGCTGAATGCTCGTAAATCGGAATTGGCTACCCTAAATCGCATCCAGGAGGTGATCTACGAGCCGCGTAAAGATGAAGGCACGGCAAAGGTTGGACTACGTAATTTGGAGCATTGTGAACGTGATCTGACCGGTAGCGACGATTGTGAGCAGGAAGCTGCCGGAAAATGCATTTAAGACGACATTTCGGGTAATTGAGGTAATATCATGCATGGTGTCATTCGACGCGCATGACATGCGGTGGATTATGGAGCAACATGAGTGTCACAACGGTCACCATTTCTGTGGCTCCCATTCCGGGCGAACGCACGGCTTTGTCATTTTATAGGTTAGGATATTTCCTTACAAACTTCATGGCAATGTAAGATTGGGGCTACTACTACTGTAAAAAAAAAAAAGTATTTGAGTGTTGTTTATGGCAGAGTAAGCTCTACTTCACATGTCCCTTCCGGTACTCAAAAATAAACGAAATCAGGGGCTCTATGTTGCTGTAAAGGTTTTATACGGTGGTGCCCTATGTACGACATCTACACGATCATTTACACTCCATGTGATACTCCAGCACCGCCTTCCTCACCAATCTACCGATGCTATGGGGCTGCAGGTTTTTTCTCATCGTCCTCGCTATCGCTTGATAGTTCGTCGAAACTTTGCTGGATTTGGGTGAGAGTCTGCTGGAATCCAGGACGATCACCGCCCAGCTTGGACAGTTGCTTCGTGTTGCCGAAGCGCCCATACAGCTTCCGAGCTGACAGCAGCATACTCTCATCCTCGCTGTCCTCATCCTCTGACACTCCCGAAGCGGGGACTGTGTCCAGCACTGAGGACCCAACAGACTGGTAGCGGAACACCTGGACATCGCTGCTGCCTGTACTGCTGGAACTACTGGCCCGATTGCGTTCGTCTTGTGCCAAACGTGAGATTCCTTCGACGACACCACTAGCTTGAGATTTCTGTTCTTGATGAGCGTTAAAAGAAGCCGAGAAATTCAACTGAAAGTTGTCAAGAGTGGAGTTGCTGTCGTTGCTCTGTCTTGGAGTACTCGAGCCGGAAGGCTCCTTTGCTGAGCTTTGCTGCTCTGTGCGGAAACGATCAGGAAGATACGCCGGCGCATTACTGTTGCTTCGCGGTTGAAGTGCAGCCTCGTTGCCAATCGAAGGATTAGTCGCTGCAAGATCCAATGCAGGCACAGCAGCAGGGGATGATGCTGAGGTAGCCGAAAGCCTTTCAATCGCAACAGGCGAGGACGACGGTGGCGTTGCAGGCGGGGTTATGGCATCCAGACCCATGCTACAGATACTGCTGCCACGAGCGCTGCTGCTGGGGACCGAGGAGAACGAAATTCTGCTGGATGCGCGCGAACGGCTTTCCGAAACCTCATCACCGCTTGTCTGCTCAGGGTCAGCTGACAACATCATGGACACTGGAATAACGGGAGGAGTAGTATGTTCATCCTCCACTAGATTGGCCAAACTAGCGCGAGGCACTTCGCTGTCGCGCTGGGCTCCGTCGAAAGCCAAGTCATCAGCAGTACCGTCCACAGGAGCTGAGACGAGACTAACATCAGTGGCAAAGTGGTCATCCGTTCGAGTGGTTGATGGCGAGCTCAGTTCACTGGAGCCCAGCACCACTCGGGTGTTCGCGGATCGCTGCTGTTCCTCCACTGACATGTTGTCAAGAACAAAGGTTTCTTCGCGACTGATAGAAGGACGCGAGGGTTTAGCCAGGTCTAAAGCTTTACCACTCTCGGTCTTGGGAGACGTTGGCATGCGTTCGTATGAAGATACTCCATCCTTCAACTGGGACGACGTGCCATCGCGACTCTGGCGGATAAACAATGACTGGTCGTGGAACTGACGCATATCGGCATCCAAGTAGTTCATATCACACCCGACAGTGTTGAGAATTGCCTCATCTTCGGACTCCGAAAGCTGTTCGTGCTTGGTCTTCTCCGCTTGATCATAACGTCCGTGTAGCGTGTACTTCCTGGTCACAACATCCACGCCTCCATCGTCATGAGATTTTTTGGATACTCGCTCGTCCAGTGTCGTGATCGACTCCTTCTGATACTCATGGTCGATTAAGTCTTCCACTTTCGATCGCTGCAGCTGCTGGTCGTGGTCAATGAGATCTTCAACGACCTCGGTATTCTTGGGTGCAACAACTTCCACAGCGTGTGTGTTGTTCGTAAATCTAGGAGCCAATTGCGAGCCTACCGACGAGTTCGCAATGGACGGGCGTTCCAGCACCTGACGTGTTGCAGTATGAGCAGAAGGAGACGGGGGCGGCAACGCTGGAGTCTCAGCAAATTCATGTGCTTTAGTCTCCTCAGCATCATCATCGATTGGCTTACGAGGCAGAGCATTGGACAACGTGCTAAGCTTGGTGCTGACACGGCGCTCCTCTTCATCGTCCGAAGCGCCCATGGACGTCTCGGAGTCTTCGTCAGTGTCGTAGATTTTCGCTGCTTTCAGGCCATTCTCAATCGAATCAACGGGGTTTTGCACTGGTGTTTTGGGCGTCATACGTCCAATACTCTCATCGTGCTTCTGCTCAGCAATCGGAGGAACCACAGCACGGCCCGGTGTGTCATCATACGTGTCAATGTCGATAGAACTCGCAGAAGAATCCGAGCTTGTGGACGAGCGTCGCTGTTCCATCTCGCGTTCTCGTTGGCGCAAGAGTTCGTGCTCACGTCCACCATCTCTGGGCGCAGTAGGCGGCATAGCAGCCATACTCATACTGTTGAGTTCAATCGGAATAGTCGACGCAGACGTTGTCAGCGCACTCATATCCAGTGGAGGCGGTGCATTTGGATCATCAAGCGTCGAATCATACGTGCCGAAGTCAGGAATCACCGCGTGGTCGTCTAACGTCGCGCCATACGCGCCGAAATCGCTGGGTGGGGCCTGGTACATCGGAGGAGCGTCAAAGTCGTGCTTGTCACGACTTGCTTGCTGCAACGCAGACATGTACGCATCCGGCATGCGGTGGTCGATGCTGGAACGACTCATGTAGTTGTCTTGACGCTGTAGTTGCTCTAGCCGCTCGCGACTACTCAACTCCTGTAGACGACTGAAGTTGCTCATATTGCGGCCACCCGTACCTGCTCCTAGCAGCATATCACTACTTTGACTGCGTGGAATTCCATTCTGAGGACGTCGTGAAGCTCCAGTAGCTGGACGATCGAAAATCGAGGCAGGAGACGGCACTGGCGGCGGTCCTGGCATCTGCAACGTGTATCGTCCTTCCCCCCTCGCAATGGGGTCATCCAGTGACAAACTCTGGCTGGGTCGGAAGTCAGACGGTCGCATGAGTTGGCTGCCACGGTGGTCACGCGAACGACTGTAGTCCTGTTGCTGCTGCTGGTATCTCTGTGATCTCCTGTACAAATCTGCGTCCGGTTGTCCACGTGAGCGATGACGCGACGTTGAAGGTGGTAAATCGGCACCAAAACCAGGAATCGGAGACGTGCTGGACATGCGTCGACTTGAGGGCTTCTCACGTCGCATCGACTGCAAGAAAATCTTGGGCGCTTCCTCTTCTCTACGTCCATGATGTCCCACTCGTGACGCTCGTCGTTCATCGTCGTGATAACCCAAGAAACTCATCGACATGGTGGAGGAATGCGGCGGTTCTACCAGTGCTGACGTGGGCTTGGGGGCGTTCGTAATCACCTGGAAACAGTGCATACAGATACGTAGTTTACGCACCTCGTCTCCTCCATTAGTAGCCGCGAAGTTGCGGTTCTCAATGGGGAATTCCTTGCTGCATGCGGCACACACAACTTCTCCACACTTTCTGCAGTTCAGCTTTCTCAATAATAACAGCGAGAACGAGTCCTGACACACGGCACATCTGGCTCTGTACTTCCTGGGGACGAGTTCCAGATCGCTCAGGTATCTCTGCTCATTGAGACGTTTGCTCCTCAGCATGTTTCTCACCTGGGCGACGAACAACACTCTCATTCTCAATAGACTGGCTGGTACAGGCGTGTGTTCCTTCAAGTTCAGTTGCACCAAGTGAATCACATCCACATGACCCGGTCGCTCCTCACTTTCCACTACGACGAAGCCGGAATGGTACAAACTGCCACGTACGAGGCCGAATTCCCTCTTCAGGTCGTCACAGCCCGGCAATTTGATCGAGTGCTGGCCCAATACCCATCCTTTGCGTCCTCTGGCATCAATAAACTTGTCTTGACACTCCAAGTAGCAAAAATCGCGATGCGGCAAACCATGTGGCATCTGCACAACCATCCACTTGGCTGTCACTTGGTGTAAAGGCTTCTCCTTCGTCCTAGGGGCCAGAGTATGCAACACCACGCCATCGTAGAACCACTCTCTATGCGCTCTAGCGAACTCCTTCATTTGCCGTGTTGAGCCCAATTGGAAGAGTGACGCCACCTCCTTCACAGTGCCCGGTACACTAGTCACACCGCACATGCTGGCGGCGGTGAGGGCCGCACCGGTTGCTGTTGAGCGCGGAGAGCCTGCGTAAATCTGCACGCCGTTGTTCTTCTCCACGTGGCGCCAAGCGATGGGCCCGCCGGCGCTGCGTGCGCGCTCCACGAGCTCCTGCGCAGCCTCGCATGATTTGCGCACAAGGTAGGCTCGTTCGCGCGACGAGAGCAGCGGGGGCTCGAAGTAGTTCTCGCGCAGAGGCGTCCATACGCGTGAGGAGCCTAGAGACTCGTTGCTGGACGTGGAGGCCGCGGGTCCCGCCACCCGCGACGACGAGAGGCCCCGAGCCATGACACAGGAGTGATGGTCAGTTGCCTTCGCGACGTCGTATTCGAGAGTGAGGAAAGTGAAGGCGGTAACCACGTGGACTTGTGCTCTGACTCCCATCCGTTCGGTTAGAAATTGCGTATAGAAAGGGATAACGACAACGTTGTATGGGACGTTTGGGTAGAGACGGGAATGGGACGACTTGAGCCGGACACAAGATTTGATAAACGATGATTTTTCACCGAAAGCCGTGGGTGGCAGAAGAGAAGTGTAGGATAAACTTTGAGAATGTAGTGCCACTTTGTGCATTTTGTATTTGAATTTTATTGTAAAGATAAACGGAGGAGCAGCATTGAGTTGATGATGCACTCAAAAACGTCATGTTCATGGTTGTCAGTGGCTGGCTGGCGTTGCACCCAGACGATTTTGCTTGGCGAAAGAGGGTTGTGGCAGTTTGTAATTCGGAGGAAAAGTTTGGGTGAGCTCCATGGTGATCTCTCTACTTTATTTCTTCGCGACATTATTGGAGTCATTATTCAGTGAATCATTCACCCTGCCGTGCGTTCATGGTCCCACTTGGCCCCTCCACGGCGTGACGATGTCGCTTCAATTGGACACACTGTCCAACTGGCGACGTCGGAATAGTCAACGAAAAACACCCCCGTAGTCGTATCGTGATCGCCCATTCCGTGCACTGCGTTCGGACCGCGCTGCTCTCTTTTCCTTCTCCAAATGCCGCGCAGATCCACCTCGGTTCGACTGCACGCACTGCCTGTCCTCTCCGTCGTTTCTTTCGAGCTGCTATCCTTGCTCGTCGTCAATGCAGCTTTGTCGACGAGATTATCAATGCAGCAGAGTCTCCGATGGCAACTTGCACTGCATAATAGTGCGTGGCCAGTGTCCGCACGATCGGACGTGCTACACTGCGCGTCAATTGACTCAGTTGCAGTTGCAGTACCCTCCTTATCGGTTCGCCATAGCGGTGGTGATTGTCACGCGGGACGGTCATCATCACGTTGTAGAAACCTTTGAGCAACCAAAACTCATTTCTCCGCGTGGACAACTGTGCTCAACAATGATCTGGGCAAAGGCCTGATTAAAATGCCCCGCTCCACGTCACTTCACCATCTTGCACGTTTTCACCGCGATCGACTGCAGGTAATTTATATCGGCAACGTAGCGTTTCCCACATGAAAATACAATATCGTGATAGTACCGCAATCCAGTACACATAAAAAATGAACCACACTAACCTTTTTAGGCAAAGTTTTGTTTAATCTGTCGCTTCAATCGTTGGGTTAAGCCCACGCCACGATCGTCAACTTTTCGACTCGAGAGCAGTTGACGATTTAACGGCGTTAGCCACTTGACGTGTGGATCTGGCCAGTATCCACTCCTCAAAATGATTCATGGGGTATTTGATCGAAGAAGTAGCCCAGTGATGGAGGTGCGATCCAGTTTATGCGTCATGGTGACCACCATTACGAACATGTACGGAGCACTCGTCGCAGTTGTAGTCTACAAATTGTAACGTGGTTAATCGGAGCAGTAGCCTTGCCGAAAGTATGATGCACGAGCCCAGCGAATACATGTACTGCGTCTATCCCTCTTAAACGACGCTAAAGATTTCACTGTTTTCTTCACACATACTGGCATCAGCTTCATGTTACGTTTTAGTCACCATGAGCAAACTGACTGGACGGAAAAATGCCCACAGATACATGTAACTCGTCAATGTAAAGAACTGAGATATCGAGGAAGGAGTGGGATATCTTTTTTCAGTGCACCTTACAGCACAAAACAGTAAATCGGCCGAGAGAGAAATCACACAGCAAGAGCACACACAATTCATGGCAGCGATAAAGATTCCTACTGTTGAACTTGATGCTTCGAAGTCGTGATCGTCCAAGGCGAGGCATGTCGATTCAATGTAAATGGCGCCACCACTGTAGGTACTCAGCATCGCCACAAAGAAAGCGATATCCATGGATATTTGTAAGCCTCGCTTATGTATCCATTCGCAAGAAAGCACGATGGATCCCTAGTATGAACAAAATCACTTGCAGACATCGTAAGATTACGCGAAGCATCCGCATGCCCTTGAGATCATCGTGCCCATCGACATCCTGTAGGACATACTTACCAAGCATTAAACCAATCAGTAATGATAGCAGGCTGCGATTCCATAACTCCACATATTCTCGAATTCGATACGATCGGCATTTTTCTCACTGTTTCTGATCTAGTGCGTGGTGGACGTTTCAATAACGACATTGTTCTGCTGGAAGCGGTCCAGATATCCTCCTTCCTCCATGAGATCAAAGAAGTGGCCTTCACCTTTCCGGATAAGCTCAGCAGGACTGGCGAGTTCCTTCACGCTGCCATCATCCATCACTAAAATGCGGTCCGAGTCAAGTATCGTGTCTAGTCGATGCGCGATGGAGAGCACGGTAGAGTCCTTGAACACCTCGCGAATTACCCGTTGTAAAGCTTGATCCGTAGCGTGGTCTACAGCAGCAGTGGCTTCGTCGAATATCACGATACGCGACTTGCGGAGTAGCGAACACACCATACACAACATTTGCCGCTCACCCACACTGTAGTTCTCGCCGTTCTCCTCGACTAGTGCATCCAGTTTGCCATCCTCCGTTTCGATACGAGAGCCGAGACCCACCTGACGCAGACACGTCCACAATTCGTCGTCGCTAAAGTCATCGAACGGGTCCAAATAGTTGCGTAAGGTGCCCTTAAACAACACAGGGTTTTGCGGGATGATGGATAGTTTCTCACGCAGTGTCGTCAAGCCAATTGTACTGACGTCAACACCATCGATATAGATCGACCCAGCAGCCAACTCATTGATTCGGAAGAGAGCCATGGTTAGACTAGACTTGCCGGCACCAGTTCGGCCAACGATGCCGAGTTTCTCACTGCCGTGGACGGAAAAGCTCAGGTCACGTAGGACCAGTTGGCCTTGGTCCTTGTATCGGAAGTTCACGTGGTTAAATTCAATCGATCCAGCTGACGGCCAAGTTTTTGGGTGTATTTTGCTGGGTGGATCAAGTGGTAGGCGTGACGGTGCTTCCTGGATAATATCCGCGTATTCTTGAAGTCTCTCCGGACTCACCATCATAGGTTCCACTTGAGAGAGTGCCTGCACTAACCTCTCGAGGTTCTGAGATACTTTCAGTGCGTACGAGAAGGCGAGACCAATCACAGCAGCTCCTAGTTGATGACGAAGCAACACGAGCGATGCAGTGACCACCAGAACCAACAGACTACCGACGAGTTGGATGTGGAGTGAGAACCACTGAGAAACACACAATTGGCCGAACCAAATCTTGTTGTTCTCGTCCAGCTTCGCGCTGTGTGTGACCTGGAATCGATGCACGTGACCACGGCCGTAAGCTCGAATAACCGCGCCACCATCCACAGTCTCCGATAGATGGTTTAACACAGGGGCTTGCGTTGTCTTTGACAGTCGTTGTAGCTCTCGGGCCGGACGAATGTAGAAGGATCCAATGCGGTAGTAAAGATAAGCTACTGGCAACAGAAGAAGCCCCTTCCAGCGGATCACAATCGCAGCGGTGACAGCGCTGCATCCTACCGAGAATATCGTCGACGACATTCGACTGAACAGCGGTGGGATGTTGGAGTCCACGACAGATACGTCGCTACCATAACGCGTTAAAATGCGGCCGATCGGGTTGGCATCGAAGAAGCGCATAGGGGCGTGCATGAGCGCGTCTGTCATCGCGTCGAACATCCGCCGAGCCGCACGTAAGCCATACACCGCAGTCATAAACATCCGCGCGAAGACCATCAACGCTGAAGCGAGACCAAGAGCTGTGTAGATACTAAGCCGGTACGATATGGATTCCTTACTGCGGACGCCGTCACTCGACCATGCACCTAGCCAGAAATCGCTCGAAATCTGCAACGCTTGCCAGCACGCAGAGGTCATCAAGAATAGAAACACGATCGGGAAGCCACCTACTGCGCGATAATATGCGCTGAACACGTGGTGGCTCACTTGTCCCTCCACTCGCTCCTCTTCATCCACCAGCTTCCCCAGTTTTTCAAGATCAGTAATTTTGTCACCAGCGATTGAAGACAGAGCTCTCGGTTTCGCCTCTGCGCATGGAGTGCACGGTGAAATCAACGCCATCTCGTCGTCACACTCATTGGTTTCATTTGCCAGATTGAGGATGTTACTGCGATCGCTGTCATCGTCAGTCCGGGGTTCCTTGTCGATAAGTAAATCAGTCTCAAGAAGTCCGTGACCATTCTCTCCGTCATTCTTAGCTCCAAAAGTGACAGCACCGTACGGTTGAGCTGCGAAAGGCGACACCAGTGGCATCTCCGTCTCGAGTGGATTATCCGCGTGGTGTGTTTCCACTAGCGCTCCCAACTCATCGATAGTCACAGCTCGAGAAATATGCGGAGATTCAATAATCTCGGGGTTATGAGTCACGAGGATGATGGTCTTGTTCTTGAGTAGTCCCAGCATGCATTTTTGAAATATCTCGTTCTGTATAATAGCGTCCACTGCCGACAAAGGCGAATCCAGCAGGAACACGCTTGCGTCGCTGTAGCAAGCTCGAGCCAAGGCAATACGCGCCTTCTGGCCTCCTGACAAATTGATCCCACGTTCACCGATCTCGGTCGAATCGCCTGCTATTAGCGAGTCGAGATCTGCTGTCAACGCACAAGCATCCAGCACTTTCTCGTACTTCTTGCGGTCGTACAGAAGACCGAACAAAATGTTGTCTCGGACTGTCATATTCTGGATCCACGGCTGCTGCGAGCAGTACGCCACACACCCTCCGACGAATACTGTTCCGTTGTGCTTAACCATTTCACCAAGAAGTGCAGAACACAGCGACGACTTACCGCATCCAACGGAGCCATGTAGAACCACAAACTCTCCTGCCTTCACTTCCAGATTCACGTTCCTCAACAGCGTAGAGTCTTGGTCCCAGCCGAATTCGCCGCCTTCAACAGCGACAATCACTTTCCTGATAACGTAGTGTTCGCCCTGTGGATGATCAGCTGGCATAACACTGTCAGACTCCAGCTCAGACATCTCCAGGAACGCTCCAATGCGTTCCAGCGCCACTTTCGACTGCACGAGCATGGGTAGAATGTTGGTGATCATGCGTAGCGGACCCTGGATGAGTTGGAAGAGCGCAATACTGGTAAACACGATCGCTGGAGTCAAGGTTCGCTGCATCACGCCCGCGTAAACTCCAAAAGATGCCACACTGATAAACACCGGCATGCCCCAGAGCATGACGACGCTCAAACATGCCAGCAGACGTCGTTTAAACAGATCCTTCATCTCTTTGGCCCGAGTTACTTTAATTTGACCCATCAAGCGCTCCTCCCACGCATTGAACTTGACAATTTCCACAGCTTTGAACACTTCTGTCACTTTTTTCATCCTCACGTCCTTGCTGCGTCGATACACTCGCTGGCACGCGAACATCCACTTGGAAATCACGTGGTTGACGCCCAACATGGCAACAATCACACTCACACCGGCTAAGGCAGCAACGCCCAGTACGTCGTACAGCATATAGCTGACTATGGCAATTTGCAACGGGATAAGCCACAGTTGATGCACCAAAAAGGCTGTTGCCAATATCGCGTCACTGTCGGCTGTGTACATGTTGGTTATGGCTCCTGTGGACTTGTCCCTGCGCGCTTGAGCGTTCAATTTTAAAGTTTTCCGGAAAATCAGTGTCTTGACTGATGCCACGAGTTTAATTGCGATTATTTCGGAGTAAAATCTGGCGTATGTGTCTGCTAAAGCTTGCAACACTTTAGCGGCGAAGAGTGTGGCTACCCAGATGCAAATGGTCTGTAGTATTGCAGTCTCGTCGTTTGGATCTTCTTCGGCTAATACGGAGAGGCTGGAGACCACCTCTTTAAGCACGACGGGTCCCAGTAAGTTGCAGAGCATGGAGACGAGGAATGTGACGCCTGTGAGGAAGATACGGCGGCCAAAGCACATTATTGAAGCCTTGTACATGGACCGAGAGGCTTCGTAGACGCTGGAGAAGCGATACGACGCTGTGTTCGCCTGTAGCTCCCAACGTAGTGGCCATACGTCGTCGACGTCGAGCTGTTTGCGCTGGCCGAGCGTCATTAGCGGCCGCACCCAGTCCAGCAGAAGGCGGGACAGACAGCCGGCGACATCCTGAGGGTGCGGAGTGCGCTTGGAGACCGAGTGATCGAAGGTGTCGTATGACTTGAGCGGCAGTAGCTCCGGCGTCATAGCGACCCGGTGGATTGCAGAATGAAGAGAAACGTAGTGATCATGGACGAGGAGTGATGGTCATTGGCTAGCAAATGAAATGATACTTTGGTTAAAGTGGAAACAGATGATGGACAAAAGAGTGAAAAAGGCAAAATTGGCTCTTCAAGGAGATGAGTGTTCGCATCATGTCAACAACAAAAGAGTTTGCTTACTGCCCTCTTGGTCTCATTCATGGCAATTGAATGGCAGGCAAGGCTAGCGCTTTACCACACGCGGTGCAAACTGATCTCTTACCAACATTCCTGTTTGCAAGGACGCAACTACACGTGAAAGTAGTGATTCCAATACGAAAAATTACTTCGGAAGTATTGGCATTTTATTATGAAGCGGGGACTTCCTATTTCTTCTGGTGGTTGAGGAAGCGCATGGCAAGAAGCGTCAAGCCACGGACAAAAATGACGAAAGCGAATAAAATGCCGCAGTTTCTCCAGATCTCACTGTGGTTCATCAAGAAATTGATCTCCAAATATTCCTTGACAGTGATGCCACTTGGCAAAGCTGGTGGCACATTCTCCATCCGTCTGCAGCCGATAGCGTTGCTATTGTCGCTAGGACAATCTCCAAATACAACAGTAGCCAAAGCTGAAAGCGAGTATGTCAGGGGATTGATAGTATAGATCCATTTGACGCCCTCGGGAAGTGCCACCGCCGGTGGGCTGAAGCCCGAGAAGAGGAAGGTGATCAAGTTCACCACCATTCCCAAAATCTCGGCGATTTCCACATTAGGAGACAGGAAAACGACGAATTCAGCGAGGTATTCTTGAAAGAGAACGTAGAGCGACAAAATGAGGTAAAACGTGAAGAAAGCGTACGCTCCTGTAAAGCCGACTATCGGATAGAAAGCAGCCATAAACACCAGTACAGCTGCAAATGTGTACGGGATTTCCACCATACCCGACCCGAAGAAATACCAGAAAGCGTTGTAGGTCTGCGCAGCTCGTTCTCGGTAAAAGACTCCGCGTTCTTTTGCTGCAACTGGCACCATACTGTTGAACGAGATAACTCCGACAAAGCCCATGACGGAGAATACCATTCCCATCCCGGAGTTGACGCCGGCGTATGAACTGTAGTTCGTGTCGAGATAAGTGATTCCAGTGAGGAGACCCATTACCAGTGCAACTCCAAAGCGGGTCAAATTGTACGATGCCGTTCTCCAGTACATTCGGAAGAAACGTTGCAGCAGCAACTTCATCTGCGCCAGTTCGGTGGCAGCACGTTTGTCACTGTACTCCAGCGCTGGGATCAACGAAGACGGTCGAGAAATACCCTCACGGTTCAAATTCGCCTGGAGACTCTCGAAATTTGAACTCGACTTGAAAACACTCACGAAATTAGTCTCATCAGCGTTACTGTTGCCAACACCAGCGCCGATCACTTCCAACATCCAAGACGCGGGATTGTAGTCGTCTTTGAGCTTCTCCACCCCATCAATTGACTCGAAATACTCGACTAGTTCTGCCACCTCACCTGCATACACCATCTCACCTCCACGTTTGAGCAGTAAGACTCTGTCAAACACTTGGAAAACTTCAGTTGAGGGCTGATGAATCGTGCAGATAATGGTGCGTCCCGTGTTCGCCACTTTACGAACGCCATCCATGATCAACTTGGCCGAGCGAGCATCAAGACCGCTTGTCGGTTCATCCAGGAAGAGTACACTCGGTTGTGCAGCAAGCTCCACTCCGATTGTTAACCTCTTCATCTGCTCCATGGAACTGCCACGAATGATCCGGTCAGCGATCGGGTTCAGGTCCAGTAAGTCCAGGCAATCGTTCACCGATTCGTACTTGTAGTTGTCGGAAATGTCAGCACCTTGGCGCAAGAACGCGCTAAACGTCAGCGCTTCACGGAATGTCGAGGACTCGGAGTGAATGTCCATCTGCTCACAGTATCCAGTCGAGCGACGAATTGCGAGATCGGTGGCTGGGTGTCCATTTAGTAGAATCTGTCCTTGAACCTTGCCACCGGTTTTTCGACCAGCTATCACGTCCATCAGCGTTGTTTTACCTGCACCCGAAGACCCCATGAGTGCAGTAATAGTACCAGGAAGAGCATATCCACTAATACCCTTGAGTAGATTGATGGTCTCTTTTGGGTTGGCTGGGTCAGGAACAGTGTACCACAAGTCCTTGAACGCCACTGTAACTGGGACAAATGACGAGTACTTCGAGTCAGGAGCAACGTTAATAGCAGCGTCAGATTCAGATGCCTGTACGCTTCGTGGGGTCCGAGTAAGAGCGTAGCCTTCCGTGGCCTTCTTGCTGCCGGCTTCGCCACCGAGCGTCACGTTATCGGGGCTTTCGTAGCGATGATATTCCAGCGAGAGGAACGATAGAAACATAAAGAGCATGTACGAGGCCATCATATACAACATGCCATACCAAAGCCAGTGTTTCTGCGAAGGAACCTCGTACGAACTTAATGCGAACTCCCCCATCTTCATGCCGTACATGGCACAATAGTCAACGCCGTCATATACGCACGTGTCGAAGCGCGCTTCAGTGTACTGGTTCACAGCGAGAGAGCGAACACCCCACGCCACGGGGTTGATCCAGTAAAGCCAACTGAGATAATCCGGAATCTGGTCCTTCGTAATGGCAAACCCAGCAAACAAGACAAAGAATTCGACTGCAACACTGGCAATTGGGTTGACCACGTTGACGTTGGGTGACGCGCTTGCCAAGAAGAAGAAAAACGCTGCAGATGTAAGGTTGGTGAGGCACAACAGCGCCAGGAACCAGATAAAACTCCACAATGAACGCACGAAGCCACACATCCAGTACACAATCGACCCGAATACGATCACTTCAAGTATAATGGGAGGGATCTGGTTCACTGAGTTGGATAGCACGTAAGATGCTGTTCGATAGAAGTTGGCGCCTCGTTGCTTGTAGAAGACGTCACGAGCTTCAATGATGGCTGGAATCTGCGCCAACAACGCCATCGATAAGCAGAGTGCTGCCTCGAAGATGACCCCCATCACTAACTGTGGATCTGTCGGGTCGACTTGGTAAAAGACGCAGCCATACAATAGTCCCATGACCGTATTCATCGCCAAACGTCCGATAAGCCCCGACATTTCACGTCTCATCATCGTAATTTGTCGCTTCATAAGCAGAAAAGTGCTTGCTCCAAAAGACTGGTAGAACTCTGGTTGAGACCACGTTTGCTGAAGTAGCTCAGGTTCATCAAGATCCTTCAGCACCTGGGCAAAGTAGGAGGATCGTTCAAACGCCTCCGCAAAATGCTGTGGATAACGAGGACCCAATCCCTTGTCAATTTCATATTGGAGTTGTTTGCTGGTCCCAAGATCCATCAAGAAGTCAGCGACGTCACGTTGAGGTGGGCGCTTGAAGCCAAGACTCTCAAAGTAACCCAGTGCTTGCTCACGAGGACCATTGTACATGACTCGTCCTTCGTTCAGAATTATCACGTTGTCAAACAACGCGAACACTTCAGGTGAAGGCTGCAACAACGAGATGACCACAGTCTTGCGGAACTTCTTGGCGATACTGCGCTGCGTCGTGATGATGTCGAAGGTAGCTGCACTGTCCAGACCAGTGCTGATCTCGTCCATCATCTTCACGTACGCGTTGCCGAACTCCATCTCGCCAGTCGTCACTCGCTTGCGCTCGCCACCAGACACACCACGCAGCATTTCATCTCCCACAACGGTGTTCTGGCAGTTTTCCAGTCCGAGTTGTTGGATCACGAGGTCTGGATAGTGCTGGTACATGGCTCGGACTACCTCCAACGCCTCTGCTTTTTCCTCTGGAGAGCTGTGCGCGAATTGCTTTTCCCAGTACTCTGCCAGGTCGCCACCACAACAAGCGTGTACGAACTCAAGGGTCTCCTTAACAGTCAGTAAAGCATAGTGCCGGTCGTGTTGAGGTACGTAGGACACTAGGTGAGCCAAGCGCTTTTGTAGCTCAGCAGCTGGCGTTCCGTTGTACGTCACCTCCCCTTCCACCGAGATGTTCTTGTCCTTTGGAAAGCGCCCACTTAGAAGCTTCATCAAGGCCGACTTGCCCGAACCAGGCTGACCCAGTACGAGAGTCATGGTTCCAGGCTTGAGCGTACCGCTCACATTCTTGAGGATCTGCTTCTTGACGACGTTTTTGGTGGAACGCAGCTCGTGGTAGCTTGTCTTAATAGCGTTAAACAGAGTTGGGAGTTCGATGTTGGCGTCGTTTGAATCCTTGACCACGACGTCGACTGCGATGGATACGCCTCTAAAGCGTATCTCGACCTGTGGAAAACTCTCGCCCATTGCCTTCTCCATGTGAGAGCCCACATGATCGCGCACTTCTGCGGGCGTCCGAGTCGCCTGCTTTGGATTATCGGACTCTCCTTTGTCGCTAGGTGGAGGCATGGAGGAAGTTTGAATCAGTTCGTGGGCTTCCTTTCAGCGAGGTGTTGCTTGTAGGAGTCAAAAGTGAAAGTGGTGAGGTCATCTGAGAGCTGGTGCGATACTGCTTGTGCTCTGAGATTGCTGGACTCGTGAGGTTGAATTTCCTGCTGCGTTCGTGATCATGCGGGTTAGTATTTTTTTTAAAGTTTAGTTTAACATAGTCGGTACGTATCGCTATATAATCATACATTGATTACCGGACATGAATTATCCAGTTTTGCGGTCGTTTGTCAACACGTTATCACGACCTTAACGGTAAAAAAAAAATGGTGGTGTATAGTACGTGGAAATGTTGTTGGCCAAGTATCAACCTTTATAATGTTGTCGATTACGGGCGACATTAACGGGTACAGTGTCGGTCGCATCATCGGGATTCACTTGCAACAATACTGTATTCATTGAAGAGGTGTGGATAATTATTGATTCCCGTCCACGATGATTGAGTAGCCCATCTCGTCGACTAATATCTTCTTTCAATCCTTTAGAAGACAATCCGGTGTCATTGTAGTATCTGCTGATCATAATCGCCCCAAATCACATTTCACTACATGTACAGTTAGTACTTATAGCCACTACTCTAGCGCCTCACGTCGCTGTAGTGAATGTAGACGGGAATCACATATACTCTCCAAAGAAATCGTACACATGTACAAACTCGGCGGATACACATGCGTTCTAATGCACTTGTAATCTGAGCAGCTTCCACAGCAGTTTCTCAATGGAAACGTGGCATCGTACGCCTCGATCAGGAACTGAGTTGTAGCGTCCGCCCTGTTGCCACCTAAAGTGAGGTCGTCTCAGCATTGACACTGGTTTGAGTCAACCGTTTGACATCACCGGCGCTCAAGGTATTGACGACCAGAGGTCACCACGGAAGGATACGCTACAGTGCCATCTCGCCTTGTGTTAGCACAAGCGTTTGCCGTTTCAGTATCTAAAATATCAAAAGTCTCAACGTTTACATTTTAATGTACAAACTGCAATCGTTACCCCTTGAACCAACTGACGTCCAGTTTTATCTTCACGGACCTCGCAGCCGAATTGACTCGTTGGTCCCTCCTAACGCTCCTCGCACCTGCAGTGCATCCATTGTAACCTGTTGCAACTGCTGCTCTATCAGGGCTAAATCTCCAGCCAAAGTGTCACGCCGCACCGTGAGTTGTTCTACGAGCGCCATCAGCTTTCGCATAGACGTAGAATAGTTAGCCAGCCTCATCGAAATGATCATCGTAAACTCCCTCACCTACCTCGTTGTATCTCTTACGGATCACAATGACCTCTCGATCACCCTTTCTACTGTCTATGACGCGTCGTGAGCTTCCTCTAATTGACACGCCGTTTGTGGTGTCCGGTGGATCATCTCGAGTACGACTCAATTGCTGCAGTTCTTCCTCCATGTTCCGGTATAAGCGACACTCCAGTTGCTTGCTAGAGATCGACTGTCTGTCTACCTGCGCCCACATTCTAGTAAGCTCGTCCGCCATGTCCTTGGATGTTTTCCGCTTGGCTCGTTCGTAGAAGCTCTGGTCCATTTGGATACTTTGTACGAGAAACCTGTCGTTGATTATTTGCCGCTCTTTTGCGTCCAATTGCAGCAGCTCATTGCAATCTTTTTGTCGTAGGATGAGAACGATGGACGTCGAACCGTTGGGCTCCAGTAAACCCTGATGAGGACACACCAAGTAACTGTCTGGTCTCCTTGTCTTCACTTTAAACGCGACTGGTGAGTCCTCCGACGCATTGTGAATAGACAGTAGCGCTTTGAGCTCCGTGTCGTGCTGCAGACGGAACGCCACAGTCTCCGCGGGCTCCAGGATAATGCTCGAGTTCAACGGTAGCACCACGTCCACCATGCTTGTCAAATGTGAATCAGATATAACTTTAACTCAACTCAACCTCTAGAAAACGTTACGCCTCCCAACGTTTGAAAGACTCAACCGGTAATCTGATTCCATCAAACGTGACCACGATTGGCCAAAACGACAATCACTATAACCAACCAATAGTCTTCTTCTTAATTCAACTACCGTCTATCATTGGCTAAAACCCTTCCCTAACAATTATCTGCACCAGATCAACTAACCATGCTGGCTGGCTTCGTTGTGCCCCACGCGCACTACCGCGTGTTCCACGGGAACCCCGCGGCCGACTCGCAGTATGCGGCACGCAACGACCAGTTCCCCTTAGCTCTGAACCCCCGTCGCGTGGAGAGCTCCCCCACCGACCTCCATCTGCGCGAGTTCGCCCAGCTCGAGGTCCAAGTCAAGGCTCTGCAAATACAATCAACCAACCCTGCCTCCGCGGCGGGATCTCTAGCCGAGTGTTTCCTGTTCTACTCTAGACTATTCACAGTCGAGTCATTCTCGTGGCCAGATTTCCTATCCGCCGTGTTCACCAAGTTAGCCGAGCACTTTGCTATAAGGTAAGTAAAAAGGTAGAATGAGGTAAATTCCAAGGTAGAATACACTAATGTTTCGTATATTTTCGCAGTGAGAATGACATCGCGCGAAGCGCTATCCTGAGAGTCTTCCAACGTGCAAAAAGTCACGTGGCACAAGTGAACGATTCCAACAAGGTGGGTAGTCTACGGTAGAACAACACCCTCAACAAGGTAGAACGAATACTAACCTTGTTATTAACGATACTGCAGCTACTAACCCACCTCACAGGTCCTTTAACGCATCCTACCAGTGTCACAACACGGACATTAACGCTCCAGGTGGTGGCCACGATGCCCTCCCTACTTGTCCACGACACGACAGTGCAGCAGCAGATTCTCAAGGGGATTTCTGCTGACGATCACGATGAACGCCGCGCTGCAATTGAAGCAGCGAGTGCATTTCTACCACTATCATCTTCCTTTAAGAACGACGCGCTGACATTAACTCTGGAGGACAAGACGACGGTGTTGTGCTGCTTGTTGGCGGATGCAGTGGCGAACTCTACGGAGGCGCAGCAAGCCTGGACTCACTGTGCAGAACTGTACGAAAGACTTGCTGATGACAAGAGTGCAGTGGCGAGTTTACGTGCCATGACTATGCTGACTGCTGCGTATCCTGGTGTTTTAATGGAGATGCACGGACAAGTGCTGCATCATGTACTGGATCAAGACCCGCGTGCGATAGTGCATAATTTCACGTTGCTAGTAACTCAACAACTCGTTGCGAAGCAAAGCGAAAACAACGAACAGCTAGCAAGTGTTCTGGAAGGTGTTTTTGCAAGGATTGAAAGCCAAGGTAAACCTAGTTTGCGCATCAAATTATCAGCTCTGCTACTGCTTGAAAAGTGGTCGAAGCAGCACGAGTTAGGTGACAAGGCTGAAGCTTTACTCAAGGAAGCCAAGAAACTGCTCGCTGTTGCCAGGGATGCGCGATTCGGAGAGGTTTACACTTCTATCATCGCGAATATCGCTCGTCAGAAGCTCGCAGCTGACGGGTCAGAGCACAGTGTCGATGAATTGCTGTTCTTATTGCATCCACGAGCACCCGTGGCTGCCAAGAGCACATGGAACTACGCATTGGCAGCCATCGCTCAACTCAGCCAGGAATTCTCCGACCATCTCGCCACATATCTAGCTCCACGTTTAATCGAGCTGCTGTCAATCCTAGCTGATAGTAACATGGACGCTAGTGTCATCAAAGCTCGCAGAACGTCCATCTTCAAGGCCCTCGGGGATCAACTTCGACCACCAAACTTCGACTTGATCAACAAGGAGCTGTCTACGTTGCTAAAGGAACTCTCCAGTGTCAACCGAACGGATGCTGCGTATCTACGGGCTGTGGTAGCTACATTCTTCCTCTGGACACAAGAGCTGACCGTCGCTAAAGAAGACGGCGAGATCAGCAAGATGATCTCTACATTCGAGCGACAACTGCTTAATTCTGAGCACTACGAGACTCACGCAGATCGGTACGAGATGGCCAAGCTGGCGATGTTACGAGGACGGTTCACGTTGGCTTCTCAGTTGCTGGAGGTTGTTGCAGCGAAGACTGATAGCGAGTGCTTTGGTGGCTGGCTGCACGCTCTACAGACGATGAGTGGCGCTGAGTCCCGCATATCAACAGATCAATCAGTGCACCTCGATAGCCTGCAGTTGCTAGCCCGTGCTAGTACGTACTTGCAAGCGGCACGTACGTCAAGTTTTCGCTTCGATCTCCAGCTCCACCTGCTTTCTCTCCGACTGGAATGGGTACAACTTGTGCAGAGTACACAGCAGGTAGCAGGAGAGGCTGCATACACCAATTCACCGGGTAATCCTGTGGGACGAGAGGGCCAATTGAGCAAGCAATTACGTGCTCTTGCGCACAAGTTTAACGTGCTACGTGGTATGCTGCTCGGTGCCGATCAGCGAGACCTGGACGCTCTTCAAGCTCACACCAGCTCGTGTAATTTATTGGCGTCAGCGGTCGAAGGGTTTTTGTTGCTACGATCTCCAAACTCCATCGACTTTCCGACAGAATGGGGATCTCAGTGGAGTTTACAAGTGTTGAAGACGTTGAGTGAAGATGTACGAGGAAAATTGGATCGCGTTGCCAAGCTCTCACCTTCTCGTCAACCAGGCGTTGGAGCCCACGTACTGCAGCAACTTTTGGTGGCGTTATGTGCTGTCCCTCCGGTGTTGCCGAAGCTTTTCTTCTGCTCTCGACTACGCACTGAACAGCGTCTTCTCTCCAGTGCGCAGTTTTTAACTTATGCAGAGAACACGGCATTCACAGCCAAGCCACGCTCTCGCTCACAACTTGGCGTGTCACTGGGCACTGATTTCGTTAGTGTGTTGAAAGGGGTGCTTGCAGTTTCGCGCAGTGCTCGAAATTACTGGATTAACCGAGCAGAAGCTGTTGAAGTGGAGGTGCTCGTGTGCTTAGCTGATGCTGGAATCAATACTGGGAGCTCCTCGATCTATGAACAAGCGAGTGGGATGGCAGACGAGAAGCTCGTGCAACACCGAATGACAGTCATTCTACCAATTGCATGGGATCAAGTTACGACAGCAGCTGAAGATAATCGGACAATGCTGTACCTGCCGTTCGAGACGCCAGTGCATGTGAAGGCTGCGAATTTGACAGTCAAAGGGTCTTTCACGTTGGTAGCAAAACTCGCATTAGTGGATCGACGAGGCGACAAGTGGCCTCTGGCTGCTACTGGTTGTCGACGAGGCTTCATAGTTTACTGAAAATTCTACATAAACGTAGACGAGTGGAAGTGTTCTAAACTACTTGGGCTAAAGTTTACCGTGCGCACTCGATTCAGTACTACCATTCAAAGGTAGCGTAAAGGGGGCGATGTTGTAGCTTCGCTGCTCCAGTCATGTTGGAGAAGACGTTTCCATATCTTGTCATTGAATGGGCCTAAGGAGAGCAGTTGTACTGATGAACAGGAACTATGAAGCGAGCTATTATCTTTGAACTTGAATACTACGAATCTTCCATTTGTCATCTGTTATCTGCTTTCTCACTCCTACAACCACCATTTCCCAGACAATTAATCTGTTGTTATGAAAACACCTAGCACGTGGTCGGTTACGAGTCCTCCGCTACTGGATCACAGAGTTCAATAGTCGGCCCTTGAATCCATTGCAGAACTTCTTCCATTCCCCGAGCTTCGGCACCTCCAAGTGCTCAGGTGGTCCATCCTTCCGTGCGATTCACATATAGAAACTTCACTACATCGAGATGCCTTTCAGAAGCAGCGCCATCTACAGCTTCCGTAGTGCACCCCTCCGCACGATTACTGGGCAACCACCGCACCATCTCCAAATGTCCTCCACCCGCGGCTAAATCCATTGCACGCGTCGTAGTACGACTCGTACATCCTTCGGATCTGTTTACTTGTAACCACTTTACCACGTCAAGGTGACCATTTGCCGCTGCGTTGTTCATAGCAGACGTCGTACCTTCAGTACGATTTCCATGCAGCCATTTCACTACGTCGAGATGTCCACTTTCGGCTGCCGAGTTCATAGCTGCCGTGGTGTTTGCTACCTTCGTGCGATTATCGTGCATCCATTTCACGATTTCAAGTTGGCCCCCTTGTGCTGCATAATCCATCGCCTGGGACGTCCACTGAGCACTATAGTGCGAATTCAGCCAAAGTAAAATCTGGAAGTGACCTGCTTCAGCGGCACTATTCACAGCCTCTGGTGAGCACCCGTCATTCCGATTGGCGTCCAGCCATTGCAATACATCCAAACGACCACCAAGTGCAGCCCAATCCATCGAGTCAGTGACTCTCGGACGCCGGCCACAGACAAACCTCAAACCTGCCGGCTTAAGTCTGTTCCCCC